TATATTCTGTTAAAGGCTTAGTGATGCTATTTTTAGAATGTGATGTAGTGACTGTATTCTTTCAAGAAGCAATCCTTGAAGTTAATAATGAAAAATGAAAGTCATTTCTATATGGTACTTCAATATACAAGAGATATGTAATTTCTTGCAAGCAAAATTGCTGTAGAGACATAACTGTGCCATAAAATATAGAATGCTGTCACTTAAGATTCTTGGAGACTAAAAAATTATGCATCAAGAATAGACAGAAGCTAGAAATAAAGAGAGGTGTGATTTCTAGTTTTATTTAACAAGAAAAACATATTTAGATATTATTTTTAAATTGGCAGAAAATAATGTATACCACCAATTACAGAAAAGGAAACATAACCTTTACTGAAAATAAAAAGAAAAGTATAACAATGAGTAATACACTAGAGAATTATTACAGGAAGCAGCAAAGACATTTTATAGCTCAGTAGAATAAAATGGGAATAAAGAAGGAACTGGACTGTGACTAAGTAAAAGGGCTGAGTAGTATTTCTAAGTAAGTAAAATTGATTAAGGAACCCGATTGTAATTGTTTTTGCCACTAACCAGGGAGAATTTAAGAGATTTGGAGAAATTTCAGTGTTGACCAATAGAGATTGTAGCCGTAAGTGTTTGTGCTAATTGTGCTACCGTAGTATCACGAGGAATGATATCCAATGTGAAGCCTAACCTTCTTTAAGTATCTTGTGTGTGCGTGGCGGGTGTTTTTTAGTGAACCCTTGAGTTTTACTCTACATGTCAGGACTATGTAGAGAAATTATTTGGGGAGAAGTTGTCTTAAGACAATTTTAATTAAAAATGTGCTTATTCATATGACAAGATGTAAAAGTCCACCCCAGACCTAAGTAAATTCCTACTATATTATTTCTCTCTCATCTATGAGTACTTTAAATATATCCTTTTACTCTTGTATTACCTAAAAACATTCCCTAAAAAGTTCATAATGTAATTGGGATTATATAAGTAGTTAGCTTTTTCTTTTTTCTTTTTTTTTTAAGATTTATCTATGCATGCATACAGAACTGGGGTACAGGCCAGAGCCAGAAGGATGGTGACAGGATTCACCAGAGGCAGAGCGGGGAGCAGAACATGCAGATAGACAAAGTACACTGCTGAGGAGAACATACTGTGCCATGTGGGTCACCTCCCTGGCCTGGGATCAAACTTGTGGTGAAGTGGCTGCTGGCAAACTTCATGGTGCTGTGCTTTAACATATTATACCACCAGGGAGGGCCCACCAATTACTCTTTTTTCTCAGAGTACTTAATAATTTATCCTCAGTGACTTTCAACAGTTTTATTATAATATGTCTAGGAGTCTATCAGTCAGGTATTATTTTGTTTGGAATTCTTTGGAACTCTTGAATCAGTGTCTGGCTCATTTCTCAGACTGAGATGGTTGTCAGGAGATAAATATGGTGACACACCGTGGTGGAGGAGGATGGGTACTTTGGTGGTAACCACAAGTGAAGGGAGGAATCTTATACTGTTAAAATATTAACAAAGGTGTTAATATTTATTAACAAGTAAATATTATAATATTTAATAATGCATAAAATATTAACAAATAAAACCTAAAATAAAATGGCTCTCAGCAATTACTTCTTTATTTATTTTATATATTTATGCATAAAAAACTGGGTGTAGACCAGAATTGCAGGGAGGATGGGAGGTGAGAAGATGCACCAGAGACAGAATGGGTAACAGAACAGGCATATTGATTGAAATACAGTGCTGCCAGGGAGACAAGAGAGGTTTGCTATGCCATGTAGGTCAGCTCCCTGGCTGGGGATCAAACTCTGCAGTGGCTGCAGATTGCTTCATAGTGCTAAGATTTAACCCTTTGTGCCACCAGGGAAAGAATTCATTTACTATTTAAAAATCCATTTATCATTTATTAAAGAATTCATTTATCCTTTAAATGAATTTTCCATACCATTTTTTTATCTTTTCTCCTTTTGGAACTCCCCAGTGATATTAATATTATGTCCTTTTAGTTAGACCAGAGAGCTCTTATACTTATTTCATTTTTTAAACTTGTTAAATGTTGTTCTCTTTGTGGTCTGTACTTGCAAACTCACAAATTCTATTACTTGCATTCATTGACCTTTGAGGTTCTCTGTTGTATTTTTTTGCTATAGCATTTTTATAGTCTCATATTTTCTCAGTCTTTATTGTATTCTTATTTTACATCCCTCATTGATTTTATTAATTCATCAAATATGACAGTTGCCTCATCAGGCATATTCCAAATTTTGATCTGATTGATTTGATCTATTGGTTCTTTCTTTTTTTTTTTTTTTTGGTAGTACTTGTGATACATTTTTTCTTACAATGTTGTCCTTATAGTTCTTCTACCACCCTATCACCCATTCCCTTGTGCTCACCGCTCCCCTATTTTGAAATCCCCTTCCTCCTTCTCTGTAAGGAGAAGCTGTAAACCTCAGTTCTATGGTAAGCTTGCTAGTTTTGCCTTTTCTTAATTTTTTGCTGGATCATTTTTAGTTTGGATGGGTTGTATTAGGGAGTTTTCTTTTTGTATATTAATAAATTGTCTTTCTATCCTTCCCACAAGAAACTAGATGCCTTTTACCCTGAAAGACCAAACTGATGACATGACAGGCTTCAGAATGCTTCTGAACCAGCCAGGTCTAGGTTTCAGTTATCAACAAGGCACCAAGGCCAAGTTTAACTATAAATGTCCTAATCTCACTGATCCTATAGCAACATCCAATTAGGCAAGTAACCAGTACATATCAAGAAAGCACCAGATGTCCTAACGTATGTGGGACAAGTAGCAGAGGTCACATCTTACATGCCTAGACCAATCGGGTTAAGACAAGATAACTTTGTTCAATGTCAATCAATCAATCAATATACTGCTGAGCTAAAACTCCCCTCTGCTGGGCTAAAACTCCCCTCTTCTGTAATAAAACCCCTGTTTTCCCTCAGTTCAGGGCTCTCAACTTTGGCTGCTGCGTCAGTGCATGTTGGGAGCCCAGGTTTGAACATGAAATAAAGACCCTCGTGTGTTTTGCATAGAAATTGGCTCTTTGGTGGTCTTTGGGAAACTTGAAATCTGGCACAACAACCCAGAATCTTTACATGAATAATTATATCTATTAACTCACAGATCACTGACTTTGCACCTATAGAGACAGTCAGGGCTCTGATGCAGGTAAAGGGTAAGAGCTAGGGTGAAACTTGCTGGAGTGAACAACAAGAACTCAAACTTGCTAATGTTGCAGGTACCCAAGTTGTATGCTGGGGATTCACAGTGATTCCCCTACCCTAAATAAACTTCCCAACCAAAATGTTTCATGTAGTTTCACCCTAACCTCAACCTCTTGAATGTGTCCAAAAGCTATCAATAGATGTAGAACGGGGAGATGACTATAGTTGAGATGGTGGAATAAACCTGGAATTGTTTGCTTTTGAAGCATCAAGCCCTGGTATACTTTTTCCTGTTATTAATATCTAGGTGCTTGAACTCTGGTTAGTGAGAAGACTCTGTTTCTTTTTTAAGCCTTAGGTAGGTATTTTCAGTATCTCAGCCTCAGCTGGGAATAGTAGCTTTGTCTGTGAGCAGACAGAGGCGTTTTGATTTGAAATCTTTCTGCTAGTCTGGTTTCAGCTGTTCTAGATTGGGTGCCTGAGACTCAAGTCAGTAATCATCATTCTGTATCCACACTCTTTAGTTCCCTCGTAGTGAGCCCTCTGTTTGCACACCCACTCTGTGTCTCTTTCCAGGCAGTGCTGGGTCTCCAAAGTCTCTGATGGTGGTGTTTGCCCCTGAGTCCACATTAGCAGAGATTTGTCTTCCCACACCTCATGGGTTGTCCTGTTTCAATACTACAACAAACACAGTTTAGTTTTTATATCACCTTCTACCACTCAGTTCCTCCTGATGTTTGATGTAGTTACCTGATTCTCTTTGAGGGGTTGTTGACTTCGTTTTACTTGTATACATATGAAGTGAACCCTGTGTTTTCATAACCTTCCCACCATTTACCTCTCCATTTTCCTTTCCTCTAAATGATGCCTATACTTTGTTTTTTTTTTTAAACAAGAATATGTACATTAAAGACTTTAAAAGAGGTATACAAAAGCTTTAATCATTTTTTTTTCCACTTAGCTCCTCAGGTGGAAACGAAAGCAGTCAGGAGATTTTTCCATCTAATTCATCATACTATTTGTCTCTGAGTGAGACACATGCCCAGCTGCTAAGGAATAGAATATTTCCTTTGCATTCTGATTCTGGAATATGTTCTCTGGTAAGTATTTTTAATTTGTCTTTTATTTAACTACAAGCAAAAATTTATATTTTGCTTTTCAAATAAATATATAAATTTCTTAATCTACCCTTGAAATTGTTAGGGGGTGAAAACATGATACACTTAGTCTAGGCTTAGAGAGGAAACCAAAAGCAGTTGGGGTGGAGAAGAGAAAACAAAAGATAAGACAATTACCATAAAAACAGAAGTGCATGATTCCTTTCTCCCCTGAGTTCAAATTACCTGTAGAATAAGATTCATCTTTCTATGTGTCCTTTGTCCACAAGATAAAATTTTCTTGTGCCAAATTCAACAAGACATTCTGTCTCACCCATCTAAGTAGACTAATGAATATATTTCTCCTTTTACTTCAGTAATAATTGTCCCACTTATCCCATGGGATTAAGTGCATTGTGTCTATGTCTCCCTCCCAAATTACAGAAAGTGAGTTTCTCAAGCAGAAATGCCATATTTTATTTAATTTTTATCTTCAGTACCTGACAGAGAGTCTGAATAATAGGTGTATAATATATTTTTGAACAAAATTAAATGAACATACTAGTTCCAAAATTTGTATTTCATGAACAGGTTAATCCATTGGTTTATCAAAATGTAACCTATAGGTGAAAGCCAAAGACTGTTACAGGTGGTGTCTCGTGGAGGGAGTTGCTGGTCAGGATAGATAGCCCCAGGGAAAGTGCTAAAATATATCACATTTGGGGGTGGAACAACTGATAAGAAATACAAGGGACTGGAGAAGGCAGTAGCAAACTATTCAGTCTTCAGGGATCAGCTTTTGGGATTCATCATTTTTGGGCTCAGGGATTTTGGCACCTACTGCACTTTCCTTCCAGAAGGCTGTGTGGGCCTCTGAACATGGAAAGGCTGCCAGCAGCCAACCTCAGAGAGAAAGGTTCAGAGGTTTTACAATTAGCCAAGAGACTGAAACTCTTTCCAGTTTGCTGCTGTGGCAGCCTGGTGGAGAAGGTGGAGACCCAGAGGCAAGAGTCTCTCTGAGCTGCATGAGTGTGGCCTTTAGTTGGGTTGTTCAGGGCCACAGCTGGTGTTTTGAATGTTGCTTGTCTGGTGCTGTGCTGGGGCATCTGGACAGCTCTGAGAGCATCTACTATTGTGTCTTCTATTGTTTTTGTGAGTTGGATCCGGGCCTATAGTCTGGCTGCCATGTGCTTCAAGTCAGCTGGGAAAGCAAGTTGCCATCTTGGGTGCATGGCCTATTGTTCAGGAGAGGAGCCCTCAGTAGTGGGAAGACTCGATCTTAGCTGCTTTTTGTTTAGGACTTGAAAACACTGCATCAGGCAATGCAAATGGGGCCTCAGTAATTGTTTATACCCTGGTTTGTTAAATAAATCCCATTGTTATTGTTCTCGGAGCATAAGTAGTATTGCAATTGTGCACTGAAGAACTCAGACAGTGACCCATAAACTGCTTGGACAGTATTCTTGGCCAGTTTTAGTGACCCTTGCTGCCCTATATCAGTAATTTCTTTGAAAAAGGGAAAAAGAACAAGACACAAATGTTCATTATGGTCACACAACTGTTACCACATTAAGAACCTTATACAGAAAGAAATGCAATGGCTTGTTCTGACAATGTCAGAGTGCCAATATCAACCACATTATTCCCTTAAAAAAAAATGAGATTTTTGGCCCTCCATGGTGGCACAGCGGGTTAAAGCACAACACTGAGAAGCTAAAGCCACTTCCGCATGAGTTTGATTCCCGCCTGCCCCGGAGGTGACCACATGGCATGGCAGACCTCTCCTGACCTGCCCGCTGCTCCCCTCAGCAGTGTACTTTGTCCATCTGCCTGTTCTGCTCCCCACTCTGTCTCTGGTGAAGCCTCTCACTGACCCTGAGCCTCTGGCCTGTACCCCAGTTCTATATGAAAAAAATAAGTAAATCTTTAAAAAAAAATGAGATTTTCTATACAAAATTAGATGTCAACTGAAAAATGGAAATTTTCTTCTCATAAACAGCTTTTTTTTTTTTTCTTCCAGCACGAGTCTCATGAAATAGCTCAGGGTAGCTACACTGGGGATTGGCCACTTTGGGAATTTAATGTCTAAGAAATTGTTATTCTGTGATATAAGAAAGCAAAAGATAAATTCAAAAGCATATAATCAGTTGGAATAGAACCTCTATAAACATGCTAACTGAATAGCCAAAAACTATATTCCTCAGTATTCTAAAATTTGTGTTTATTAGCTATTTTATAAAAAGTGAGTGAATTCTTTGAAACTTGTTAGATTTTTTTTATAAAAAACACTTCAAATGAATGACTGAATTCCTCTGAATATCTGAATCAACAATTTAATATTCCTGTTAATAAGGTAGAGAATTTTTGTTAGTAATTCTGTCTTTCAAATGAGATATTGAGATATTTACTGGTACAACTAAGGTCATTCATGAGTAATAAAAATAAATGGTCAAAGATGAATTGCAAACAAAAAAATACCTCAACCTAATTTATTTTGAGGCTGTACAGGGTATGCTAGTTTTGCTGCTCCAAGAAAGTGGTTTAGGTGAGTACTTTGTATTCTTGAATCAAAATATATCACATATTAAAAACACTGAGAAGTCTTATAGTGAAGAGAAATACTTAACTTTGTTTAATCTAGAAACTTACATGTTTATTCAATGGCAGGTAAATGAATGGGGTTTGTTATTAGTCACATAAATTTACAAGTCCAGCCTAGTATTAGCTATGTGAATTGCTGCTCTGTGCAATGCATTTTTCCAAATAGTTTAGTGACATTTTGTCAAATAAAATATTCTGGGTTTGTTTGTGTACATGCACAGCATCGGTTCACAGAAGAGTGACTTTATAGTATATGTATTTAATGGATAACCTTTTCTGAGTAGTATGCACTTTGTGTTAAGTAAGGTTTGAAATTATAGACTTTATAAAGTACTATACGTTCGACATCACCATTAGTAATGAATAATATAAAATTATCCCAATGATCTTGATATCTATTCTGTCAATAATATGCGGTCCCAAACAAGAAGCTGACAAGACTTGAAATATTCTGTTAAAGACTGATTATTCATTTTAAGAACAATACCAATAAATTTTAACTCTATCCAGAAAGAGTCACGTGTGCTTTATGAATAGTTGATAATTTGTAAACCATAATCTGTGACTAAAAATTGAATGACTGAAATGACAACTGTTAACAAGCACTTAAAATTGTAGGCATTTCTTCATAGCTAGCAACAGGCATAACTTACAGAGTTGGAGCTGATTAGAGTGATTGGGGGCTCATAGTTGAAGAAGCCTTAATAATTGGAACTGTTCCTAAATAGAAAGCTATTCTTCATGACATAGCCAGTAAATATTAAAGGATGCCTTATCAGAGGGCATATAAATTTGATTCATGAATGGGTACATAACTGTATTTCTGCTATCATTTGCTCTCAAACATAAAGCAGTTGCAGTTTTTAGATGTATACAGAATTGAATAAGCATACAGAATTTAGACTGGACAAGGATGACTTCTATGAGCACATAATTAGGAACTGGGAATTCAATTTGGTCAAATGTTTGGCATGTATTTGTATTACTTTTTACACATAAAAGTAAATGAATTCTATATCACCACACATGATATTGCTCTTCTCTCTTATTTTTAAGCTTCCATCAGATTCTTTTAAATACCTCACTTGGCACAGGGTAGAACAACATGACATTCAAGGAAGTCAACTGCGCTGCCCAAGAGTAAGAGAAGGTAAAAGAACATATGTGTGTATTCTCTATGTACATGCACTGAGTAAAATATTTTTGTGTGGGATTGAAATACATTACTTGGAAATAAAATATTACCTAGATGTAGAAAATTTCCTTTTTCAAGACAGTAGAATTATTAATAGAGTGAAGTTACCTTGAAAATTGTATTTTTTAACTTAGTTATATAAATGATAAATGTTTCATATTAAAAGCAAAAATAATCACTATGACTTTTATTTCTATTATCATTTTGGAAGTCATTTTCATACTTTCTAAAATTTAACAATTTTGTTTCTTGAGTTTCTCCACTTATGAAATATTTATTGTGCACATACATCTTCTATGCATTTACATATTACCCATAGTGTGTTCCTAAAAATTTCACATTTCCCCATCATGTGAATATTAAATTATTTAATGAGTGATCTTTGTTGGATATTCAATTTGTTTACTATATTTCATAGTCACAAATAACATCATTGCTTTATGAATAACTTTAATGTAATTTTATATATTATTAAGCATCAAATAGAATCTACATTAACCAGCTAATCTCATTTTAAATTTTCACTAACTAGTTTAAGTTTGAGAAGATAACCAAAAATTTTTACTATTCCTTTTTCTTCCTATCTGATATCACATTGTATGATGAGATAGTGTGAAGAAATGTTAGCTGAAGACTTTAAAGTGTTCAACTTTTTAAAATACCTTTAAATAAATGATAACATGTAAAAATGGAAATCATGGATTTCTGGTACAATTTTTGTATCCCTTATAATTTGATAACATAAATCTTGCTGTTGTAGTATTTATAAAACATTAGATAGTTTGGCTATCTTCCATCTGTTTTTGCAAACTTGTAGTTGTGCAACTGTATTGTATAGTTATAACAATGATTAGAAAAAAGTTGATTTAAATATATTAATGTAACCATTTCCTCTTCTCAAGTGCAGTACTTTACCCATATAGTGCCTTCCTTATTCACTCATTAAATTAACAAAATAAGATTAAAATAGCATAATCATCTGATACTTTGAATAAAATATATTCTAAATCTGTTAGCTTCACTCACAGCTAAACACTAACAACCATCGATATTACTAAAGACACATTTGAATATTTTTTGTGCACAGAATATTTTTTCAAGAAATGGAAGTTATGGGGGATTAGGGAGGAGACTAGAAGCAGTGGACTTTGTGAGTGTCATTATGTGTGAAGAGTTCAGCCACAAAAGAGTGCTACATCAAGGAATAATGTGGACAAAGTCCAGCTGGTCTTGAAACTTTAGTGCATGTGCAAATTATCTGGAGGTGTCTTCAAATGCAATTACCAGGTATTAATCCCAAGGTTTCTAGGTTATATGGAATGGGATTCTGGAGTCTGCATTTGGAAAATTTATTTTGTTATAGATGATTTGATAGCCATTTTATGAGAAACACAGTTTAAGGGGCTTGTGGAAAGGGAGAGAAGGAAGAAATTTGAATAGAAAGTGAAAAATATTGATAAAGTAAGGGCATTGGCTTTTATGTGTGTGCTTGTGTGTGGGGGTGGGGAGGCTGATTGTGGCAGCCACAATGAAGTGAAAAGAAATTGTATTGTGGGCACAAATAGAGCTAAATTTAAAGAATATTGCATACTAAGAAATCAGAGAGGATGATGGGAGTAAAATGTAGGCAAATAAAATGTAAGACTAAACTGAAAATGAGAGTACATCAAGAGAATCCAATGACATCTCTTCTTCCCTGATTCATGTGTTGAGATTGTCTCTCAGCAAAACCAGTCCCATGTAATGACCACAGGAGCAATTCATGCAGAGGACATCATTGCTCTGTTGAGAAAAGGCACATTTCTTTCCATAGATCATTAACAGCACACAGTCTCTCTCAAGTGGTTAGTAGTAAAAGGAATGGAGCATGTTCTAGGGAATAGAAAATGGAAATCTCCATAGCTTATACTATGAAAAAAAAAAAAGAGAGAGAGAAATCCCTAGTTTGCTGCTCTGAATTTGTTTAAGTTTATTTTTTTATTTTGTAAAGTGGGCAACAAGTGTATTTTAAAAAGATTCAATTAGGAATTACCCTTCTTATATGGTAGATCCATAAACAACCAAGACTACTTCAGTTGGTCTCACTTGTCCCAATTGTGCATTCAGGAAGAGTTCTTACAAAAGAAAATGTTATCCAGTGCATGATAAAAAGTAATTTACCAAGACTTTAATTGCCAGATCAAAATTGAGACCTATCTCCTCCCAATTAAATGTAGCAAAAGAACAAAGAGTTGGTAGATTTTTTTTTTTTAAGTTACAGACTCTGAGTTTGAAAATCCCCCAACAAGTGCATTCACTCTATGTCTGTTATATATAAGAGGGCAAAGAACAAGCTTAGAAATTTCAGATGAAAACCAATAGCCCTGGTTTATCAGCTATTCCAGGTTGGAGTTCTCAACTGCTAAGCTAGATCTTCAATCACCAGCTAAGTCTGAGCAATAAAAAAATAAATAAATAAAAATCCAGTTTAATACAACTCACTGGGGAAGTGACCTTTGGCCTCCAACCTCAATGAAATACCTGAATGCTTCTTTAAAAGAGATATTTGAAGGAGCAGAAGATTGACAGAACTCAAACAAACAATTGAGGTCAGCTTAATAAAATTGGGGCATCTATTACACAAAGTAAGCTACCAAGTTTGGGGAGTGTTCTATTAAAGACAGTAAGGCTGGGGGTCTTCAGTCAGGTGATTATTCCAGCTTTTATAATTAAATGGTTTTTAGCTCCAGTCAGGGTACTAATACAAATATAGTTTGTTTGTGAATTGGTTGGGATACTACTTCTTTCAGTGCTAGGGTATTTTATGGATGGCAGTAATGTAGTTCATTGGAAAAGAATGCCTGAAAAGACAGGTTAAATCACAACTTGTCCTGAGCCTTGGGAAAGACCTGACGTTTATGTGAATACACTAAAATATTGGACTTTTCTTTATTACATTATATAAATACTATAAAAGTGTACTCATTACCATTAAAGCCCAGTCAAACTTGTCACAAAAGTTAACTTTGTTCCCAATGGTTTCATTATCCTCTTTTTAGGTTGCTTTCATCTACTCCAGAAAATTGGAGTGGGGGAATTATATACAAATTGTGACAGGTATGATTTACAGAAATATAAAATGTTAGAGAGTTGGGAGGGAATTGAAATCATATAGTTTAGGATTGATTTCAGGGGGTTAGCTGATACCTTAACAGTGAAGTTTGCTTAGAATAGCTTCATAGATATTAGTTTTATGTGGCAGTTAGAAAGCATGTGTTTACTTGAAACTGCTAGAAATCAGTTTTTATAAGACATTGTAATATATATATTACAATATCTTCTATATATATCTTCTAACCTTAAACCATGATGTGACCTTAATTTAGTTTTCCTGTATTTTTACAGACATGGAAAACTAAAAGTCAGAAAATTAAAATCAGTCATCTAGAGTCACTCAATTACATGCCATACTACTCCAGGCTGGGAACAGAATATCCTCTCCTTAACACTGGATGTTTGTGCACAGCTGATTTGAGAGACAGTAAGACCGGGGAATATGTTTGGAAGTGGAGATAGAAGGCTTGATTGATAGAAGGCTTGATTGATAAGCTTGGCTCCCCATATTTATTTAGTAGGCATTAAGAAATTTCTGAAATATTTTGAAGACATGAATGCTATAGTAAAATCTTTGTTTTAAGCAATTTTGTGGTATTTATGTTGAAGAAGATAAAAATGCATACCAGAGAATGATAGGAAGGTCTGGACATTGAAAGGGAAGGGTAAATATCTCAAGGTGAACACTGATAGGACAAGATGACCAGTTGACCAAAGACAAAAGAGAAAACCAGGAGTGAATTCAGGATCCCTATCACTTTGGTCTTAGTAATGACCTAACTTGGGTTTTATAAAAACAACTACAGGTAGAATATTAGCTAAAATTAACTCTTCATCTATTTAGAAACAGAATGTTACAACATTAGAATAATTTAAATGAAAATATTGTAAAATCCTTTTTTCCTGAAAAATATAAACTTAGAAAAACATATAAAAAAGATATAAGGTTGCAAATTTGTTTACTGCATCTCCTCTTATATTTGTCTCTTTTTATTACAAGAAGGACTAGACAGCTACTTCATTATATATGCCCCAAGCTTACTGCAGCAGGGAGAGTAAAAAAGAAGTAGATGGTATAAATGTTTATTAATAATCTCTTGATTAATTATTATGATAACTGTGAATATGATTAAGCATTTTCAAATAAGAGGGTTAGCTTAAGTCTGCTTGGAAAACACGAAGAGTTCAAAACATGAGATTTAAAGGATAGTAATTTTTAACCATTTGAGATTGAAAAAGGTGACAAAATCCCATAATTCTTCTCATGATCTCTTCTCTCCTAGCAGGTAAGGTGTCCAGGGGTGTATTTATATAAAAACTGCTATTTCTCATAGTGCTTGGGTTTATTATGGGTTAAATCATATTTAATGGAATTTTAAAATTGTCCAAATGTCAAGTGATGATGTCAATCTTGTCCCTCTAATCCTACTTCCAAGATCATGTCATTTGATTTTTGCTTAGGACCTCCTGAAGAAGAGTTGCTTCTGAGACATGAGGAGAACACCTTGTCTCCACAGGGAAGAGTCCCTGAGAAAATTAAATGGAAAACATGGCTACAGGAAAACTGGGAAGACTGTACGGTGAGAGCCTAAGAAAACAGAGGAAATCCAATTTTGTTCACTGATTGATTCTGACACCTTTTCTTAAAAAAGGTAGTCACTATTATAAATACCAAAACTTCAAGCCCCTCTCAAAGCTACCTGTAAAGCATGTGATGTTGGATTTCTCCATCTCTTTTACCACCTTCCTACCTGGGATGTTTCTACCATTAATTTTATTCTGAGATTGCCAAAGTTTGTTTGGAACAAGCTAAAACAGTTGAGAATGAAAATGTTATTTTCGACAATAGAATATAAAATGTGTTTGTGTCAATGAATTTATGACACATCTAGAATACCATAAATAATGCATTAACTGAAAAATTTTGATTAAATAGTGTGAGAAGCCTGCTCTGAACAGAATTACCTTGGAACAAGTAAGAATTTTTACCAATGAGATATATGGGCTGGCATTTCATAGGACTAAAAATGACCCACCCTGACACAGACACCCATTCCTTTGATTTTTAGAAGTAATCATTTATTTGTGTATATACTTTTATTCTTTATAGCTGTTATTTATACCATGGATATATTATAAAAGTCAATAGATATTTGTTAATAAACTATAGTATAAAAATTAATTGCTCTGTAGGTAACAATACTGTAAGAGAATGACTAAAGAAACTCTCAATCATCATAGAAAACCAGATGGGAAAATAGTGGTCAAAAATTCTTTTTGTGGATGTTTCATTTAACATAGGAGTGATTACT